CTGCAACGTTTACGAAATGGGCTGCAACGTTTCCGAAATGGAATGCAAGGTTTACGAATTGGGGTGGAAAACCCTGTAAGGTCATATGAAGAGCTCTTGTACAGCTCGTCTCAATACAGTGTGCATTCCAGATGTCCCGACAGATCAAGTCATAAGAAGCCTAGCTTCAACTAGAATTATTTATGACCAGGAAACCTATTATTGTATATCGTGTATTTGTTTACTGCTACACCAAAACTTATGTACAATTGAAAAATGTCTCCTCTAATTCGATTGTTAACTCGATTAATGTAACAATCATATAAAAGTATGAAATATTGTTGATTCGCTCTTTGCTTGATTTCCAAAGGAGTTCATTGCTCCCAAGCCAGGGATTCTGGAGAGCACGGCAAAGCACTGGTGGAAATCTTAAACGAGAAGATGATGTTCCACCTCCTCTCGAAATGAGGTACAGAGATGTATGGACCTTTTGGAACTTGGCTAGCCCCTCATGCTTTGACAAAAAGGAGATTGCTGCCCAATGTGGTAAAGAGTTGATGGTTACTGCTACATTTATGGTCGATCGCTTAGTGGCACCGTAGTTGCGATACTTGAATGCGAATGCATTATCACATTGACGACAGCATGACGCGCATGCGCGTCAGAATTTCACCCGATTCTGGCTAGTTTTTTTGGTTTATTTGGCCTTTTTCATATTTCAAAACTGTGTGCATGCGTTATCTTATCCGAAAAACTGTGAGTCAATTACCAGTAGTGGAATTATTGAAGAAGTTATGACGATTGTGAAAAAAATAAACAAAAAGTTGCCGAGGTACACGCATAAGGGGCTGTCATGTCCGTGTTTTGCAAGCCACGTGGGCCATTGTGGCGCGGTTGCGCGTCTCACCCATCCCATCACTTCTCGCGCCTGTACTACTCCATGCCAAAGTGTTTGCATTTATGAATGAAATGTTGAATGTGAACACGCTGCGCCTGTGTGCTGTCCATTAGATTGACACAAATTGCGATAATTACTTGGCATAATTAAGTGAAGAAGTTGGGCCAAGCCTGAGCCAGGTGAGCATGGCCCAAGATATACAAGCACACATGAAGCTGAGCACCTCGCGTGATGGACGAGGCGTTCACGAGAGTACCTATTAGCCAGTTATTATTCGTGATGTAGGTGCTAAAAATCACGCAGGTAGAGTGAATCTACCATCGGTGGCTCAGGCGTCGTCCTAAACGAGCGGAGCGAACCTAAGGAAAAGTCGTAAATGTTCACTCAGAAACATCTAAGCTACGGGAAAAATGAATAGTGGCTAAGAAAGGCGGTACAACAGGGGGCCAGTCGGGCGGCGAGAAGATAGACGTGGACGGTCAGCGGAGAAGTCCAACACGTACTGTGCGACGTAGGACGTAATATAGCACATTCTGTCAAATCTGACGCGAAATCACCGCAGTACGACCTGCGACTCATCCGCCGACCACTCTGCGTCTCTACTTTCTTGCCGCGCGACGGGGCTCCTGTCGATTATTTCATGAAAGGAAGCTCGCTTAAACGATCATAGTGCGCCGAAGCGGGCTAACCAAAAATTAAAAATTCCTTTGGAATTTCATATTGATAAGGCGCATGTAAAACACTTGCTGTGTGCGGCACCGAACTGGTAATGATACAAGCAGCGAACGAAAAGCAGCAGCATTCAAAGCTTTCAAGGAAAAAATGGAATGCATAGATACACCAGCAAAATGCCAGCTGTGTACATTTTGTAATGAACCTTGCTTTTTATGTGTATAACAAATGACTGATCTAATATTCATTATTAAACTCTTCATTCATCACTGAGTGTGCAGTATGGCATTATGACGCGTTAACCGATGACTTATTTGAGAACATATATGCAGGTGCACGAAAATGATAAGACGAATCAATTAGTACTAGCAATTAATAGGTGTCATGAAAATAATCGATAATCACGTGTTACTGTAGAGCTTATAAAAAGCACGCCGTATGTTGTATGTGTTTGTAAATAAGCTAAGCTAAAGAACAATGGCGAGCAAATAAAAAAATTGATCGCAGATTGAACTGAAAAATCGATAACGAAGAAGGTCGAAGGTAGTTGTCAACAAAATGACAATGATAGCACCAGTATCGAACAAATAATAATGTACAGCAATGATGACGTCACTCTCGTGCAAGCGATCTATCGCTGGATCCGCAAAGGCAGAGAAGAGAGGAGCAAAGGAGGATGAGGAAAATAAAAACAAAAATCAGTAAACAAAAAAGCACGATGAAGGCGAAGAAGCACGCTTGGAGCAGCGAACGATCAAGTGTAAATGCCAAGGCGAGCGAGTTACAATAACGAAAAAAAACATACCAAATTGTTGAAAGTCACATTTGCCCGTAGATCTACCTACTGTTCACTCCATTCTACTATAATAACAGCAGATGGTACGATAAATTGGCTGAGTGAAGGTATAGCTGCAGAGATACCTCAGCAAATTAAAAATAAAGGAAAAGCAGATCAAAAGCCACAAAACGAGACATTTCTCCTCCCTCTGTGATTTCCGCGTGGGGTGAGTCTCATCGATGAGAACTTCAAGGACGAGCATGCCTTAGGCCGATGTCAGACTTTGCGAATCGCGCGATTCGCAAAGTCTGACATCGGCCTTACTTTGCTTCTCGGCTGAAAGGGCTAGAGCCCGGCGTCGAAGGACCAGCAAGGCGCTGTTAGGGCCGCTACGCCAACACATTTCAGCAAAACACGCTTCGAGCCGCTATTT